GTAGCTGGACGCAGCATGAGCAGGTAAACATTGAGGTAAGAGGACATGTGATTCATTCTTCGAGTGCACAGGGTGAAGTCTGCCCTCTTGGAAAGTGTCCCAGATGTCCTCGTGGGCGCTCCAGCTATGGCCCTTAGGGGAGGGAAGGTCAGCCTGACATCACAGAGGTGTGCTCTGTGCCCTGGCTACTGGGATTGTAGAATGGTGTCAGGAGGAACGGCAGGGCCACCTGCTAGCCATCCCAAAGACTATTTCTGTAGTGACTGGTCATAGTTGGCCAGAGCCAGAGCCAGATTCTTTAGTCCTGAAAAGAAAAAAAAAAAAAAGGCCCACAGAGTTCATCTCCCATACCTACCTCTGTCCATGGAGTAACTACTTGTTTTTATTAATTTCTATTTATTGATTTTTTTTTTTTTTTTTTTTTTAGAGAGAGAGAGAGATAGAAACATCGATGTGAGAGAGAAACATGGATCGGCTGCCTTCTGCATGCCCCCCCATTGGGGATCAAGCCTGAAACCTGGGCATGTACCCTGACCTAGAATGGAACTGGGACCTCTCAGTCCATGGGATGATGCTCCATTTACTGAGCCACACCAGCTGGGCACTACTTGGTTTTACAGCCCTCCCAATATGTACTAAAGGGGGCAGTCTGCCTAAGCCCCCGTCCCCCTTAGAGCAATGTCCATATGGCCCATTTCTAGTGACATGGAATGCCCATTCCAATACCTGCATCGAGTACAGGCCATACCCGGCTTACTAAGAAGCTAATCTTTCGTGTGTGTCTGTGTAGTACTCCTGTAGGTTTATCCTCTCGTGTCAGCTTGCCCCTGGCTTTGTAACCAACCACCCCAACACTTAGCATCTTACAAAGCAATCATGATTCTGCGGGCTGGCAGTTCGGGCTCAGATCAGCTGAGTGGTCCTTTTGCTAGACTTGCCTGGGCTCACTCATGCAGCTGCAGCCAGTCTGTGGCTTGGCTGGGACTGGAGGGTCTAGAATTCCTCACTCATGTGTCTGAGGATTGGCAGACGTTCAGCCAGGGCATTTCATTTCTTTTCCACACGATCTCTCCAGCAGGCTAATCTGGGCTTGTAACTGTGGTGGTCTCGGGGGCTCGCAGCAAGGGAGAGCAAGCCCCAGCGCCCTTTCTCCAAAACAGGTCACATCACTGCTTAGATTCCAGAGACAGGAAAAAAAAAAAAAGACTCCATCTCTTGATGAGAAGAACTACAATATCACAATGCCATAGGACATTCAAACAGGACAGCAAGACGTTCAGTTATTTACAATCTCCCTAACCTGCTAACAGTATTTGTTTTTATTGTTTTTTATGGTAAGAAATTTCAAATGTACACCAACATTCAAACACACCCCAGACTAGGCAGAATAATACAACAAATCTCCCAGAAATATGCTTTTCTCAGGATGTATATATTTTTAGTAATGAAAACATATACATATAAAACAAACATATAAATGTGGGTGTGGATATAGCTATTCATTTGGTCAAGGCTGTTTTAGTAAATGGTTCATTTTAAAGTTACACAGATTTTGCACACACAGCGTTTTTTGTGTGTTTTTTTTTTTTATTTTGAGCCGCAGACACCAAAAATCCCACAGGAAGTTGTCTTTGTAAGTGTTGTGGTTTTCAGTTTCCTGTTCAGTTTGCATTAGACAATCAGAAATAAGATAAAATTGTGCAATTGAAAGAGATTCTCGGTTAAATATTTTAACTGTAGATGAGAATTTCATATTTGCTTGTATCTCTTTCCATATAGAATCCAGAGGAGCTATAACTACTTTCATCTGAAAACATTAAAGTTGTGGTATAATTTGAACATTTTTTTGGTGTTCAGTGGATTCTTCATTGCTAAAGGGGCAACTTAGATTATGCTTGCTACTTCTTATGAAAGCAGCTTCCCAAAAATAAGCCAAAAGGAATCGAGTTATATTTTTAGTTTTTGACGATAGTGTTTTACCATTATTTTTACAAATAATAAAAAACTCTGTCTCTGTGGAGCAAAGGAGATACATAAAACATACATTCTTCAGTTTAATTTTGATAAAAATACCATAGAAAAAATTAAAAAGGATGCCATTATTCATTGAAATGTTTTTATTAATATAATTTTTAAATCTTAGTATTCTCAAGGTGTAATTTTTTTGCTTGATTTTATAATTTTTTAAACCATGGCAGAAGTAAACTAAACTGTAATCAAATGTCTTAGATCTTTGACAAATCATTCTAATCCAGCATTTAAATTTTATACAGGAGATTTAATAGAAAGTGACAAATGAGGAAAAAGGAAAAGGTTCAGTACATTTGTAGATAATGTCCCTGATTCAGGTGTTATTGAAGACCATACACACACACACACACACACACACACACACCTAGGTCTAGGCAGGTTATGCTAAGTTCACATCTTATGGTAAGATAATAAAGGTAATGGGAGAGGTCTTCCACAGCTACCTTTTAAAATAAAAAATCCCCCAAATTTATTTAAAAAAATAGTATTTGCTTATAAGGAAATTTTAATGATAGTGTTTATAAGAATAAGTAATACTTTGTCTAAAAACAAAGAATACACATATGGCTTTTGTTTTTTTAATTCTCACCCGAGGGCTATTTTTCCCATTGATTTTCAGATAGAGTGGGAGGGAAGAAGGGAGAGAGAAATAAACATTGATGTGTTGATGTCGCTTGATTACCTTCTGCCCTTGACTGGGAATTGAACCCTTGATGCTAACTCTGCCAGTCCACATGTGATTTTTTTTTAAAAGTGACTTTGAGCCCTGGCCTGTTTGGCTCAGCAGTTAGAGCATCGGCCTGTGGACCAGAGAGTCCCGGTTCAGTTCCCACTAAGGGCAGTACCTCAGTTGCAGTTTGTCCCTGTCCAGGTTGGGGTTGTGTGGGTGGTGACCAGTGGATGTGTCTCTCTCTCATCCATGTTTCTCTCTGTCTCTTCCACCCTCTCTCCCTCCCAATCTATCTGAAGGCAAAACTGTCCTCAGGTGAGGATAAAAAAATAATAAATAGTGACTTTGATTTGTAGAATGCTTTTTTTCTAGTTCAGGTAGCTTTGGATTGCAAATATATGGTACATTATTTTGAATATCTTAATTGATATTCATGTGTGATATACAGATGTTTATTGCTAAAGATGAGTTTGATCTTTTCATACCGTTGAATTCTAAGGAGAAAACCATCAGATAAAACTTAATGTTTATGCCTTTTTCCATTTCTCCTGTTCCTTTTGGGGCTCTATCCTAGGTACTTTTTTTTTTTATCCTCACCGAGGACATTTTTCCATTTTTTGTTCAGATAGAGTGGGAGGAAGAGAGAGGAAGAGAGAGAGAGAAACATCAATGTGAAGGGACATATCGAGTGGCTGCCACCCGCACGACCAACCAGGGCCGGGACAAACTGCAACCAAGGTACGTGCCCTTAGCGGGAACCAAACCCGGGTCTCTCTGGACCGCAGGTCGACGCTCTAACCGCTGAGCCAAACCGGCCAGGGCTATCCTAGGTACTTTTAAGGATTGTACCATTTAATGTTACTAAGGATTTCTGACATGTGTGAAGAGCTTTGCATTTTACAAAGTGTAGAATAATGTTTCTTGCATGTTCTTTGGTGTTTATCAAGGCCGCCCCAATGGTGGGAAGTTTGAGTGACCGCCAGTAAGTGGACTGCTGACTTCCCGTCTTTGCCCATGAGGAACTGGAGGAACTGGGTTTAGAATGGCAAGGCAGCCAGACCCCTTCAGTCACCACGAAGGATTTCAGCATTTTCGCCGCCAAAACTGTTTTTCTCTATTGATTTTAGAGAAAGAGGTAGAAACACGGATGAGAAGAACATAGATTGGCTTCCTGCATGCCCCCCACTGGGGATCGGGCCCACAACCTGGGCATGTGCCCTGACCGGGAATAGAACCCGCGACCTCTTGGTGCATGGGTCATGCTCAACCACTGAGCCACGCCAGCCGGGCTCAAAAAATATTTTTAAAGTCTGGCTAGTTGGGCTGGAGAAAGAGACCTGGATACATCTTGAGGCCTAATGTGAGGGAACCAAGATAGCACAGGTCTCTTGGGTGTTTCTCAAACTGTCCCGAGTGCCCGTGACCTCGTTACCACTTTTAGTTAGGTCAGTCGGTTTGTCGAGAACGCGTGCAATTCTTTTGACCTTGTTGGGAGCTCATCAGAGATGAAAGCCAGGGGGAAATGCTGCCTGCCTGCAGTGGGCAGCAGGCCCCAGCCGCGCGGTGCAGCAGTGACCAGCGAGGTTGCAGCAGGGTAAGGATGCTCGGGCATTCGCATGAGCCGCCCTCCCGGGCGCGGCTGATCCAGCGTGGCTGGGCACAGGGGCTTGCTCCTTGCGGGCGTTTTCCGCCGGACCCCCGATAAAAACAAACAGGAAGACTCGCCCGCCAGCGGAAACTCGGGCTCCCAAGTTACTTCGGAAACTGGCCTTTTCCTTCCGCGCCGGGGGTCGTCCTGCGGCAGGAAGCGGGCCGGGGCCGCTCGCCCCGCCCCCGCCGTGGGCCCCCGCCCCGCCCCCGCCGTGGCCCCGCCCCCGCCCCGCCCCGTCCCGCCGGGCATGCTCAGTGGGCCGGCCGGGCCGGCAGGTTTGCGTGGCCGCCCGTAGTTGCCGGCGCCGGCTCAGCCCGCCGACGCCGCGTCCCTTCCCCGCGCGTCGTTCCCGGGCAGTTGCGTGCTGGGGACGGCTTCCCAGGAGCCGGCGGCCGGGCTGCGGGGACGGGCGGAGGCCCGGGCGCTGCCGAGGGCGAGCGGGCGAGGCCGACGTGGCCGGGCAGCGAGCGCCCGGAGGCCGAGCGGGCGCCACACGGAGGGAGGCGCCGGCCGGGCGCGCCCCGCGGAGCAGCCCCGGGCGGGGCGGGCGGGGCGGGCGTTCCCCGGACTTTTGTCCGAGTTGAGTCCCCTCCCCGTGGGCCGGGCCTCCCCCGCCCGCAGCGCCGCTCGCTCCCGGGAGATGTTTATCTGGGCTGCGGCGTGAGGAGCGGGCGGGCTGGTGGCGCGGAGTTTCGGGTCCGAGGAGCCTCGCGCGGCGCCGGAGAGACAAGATGTCCGCCAGGGCGGCGGCCGCCAAGGTGAGCGCCTCGGGCCGCCGGGCCCTTCCCGGGCGGAGAGCGCGGCCGCCGGCGTCGGGCCCGGGGCGGGCGGGGGCCGCGCGGGCCGGGGAGGGGCGGCGGGCGCGCGGGGCCGCGGGCGCGCAGGTGCATCGCGGCGGCGGGACGCGCAACAGGTCCCGAGCCGGGCGACGGCGTCGGGAGCCGGGGGCGCGGGTCCCGGGCGCGAGCCTGCGGGCGCCGAGGGCGGGTGTGGGCAGCCGCGGCCAGCCAGCCGGTGGCCGCTCGTGCGGAGGAGTGGCTGGTCCCGGCGAAACCGTGGAGTTTCGATCTGATGTCACTGTTCGTGGAATGCGCGCGCCAGCGCGGAGACTTGGCGACAGTGAGACGCTCAGTTCGTGGAGTAGGTCGGACCCCCCTCCCCCCCACCTTGTGTTATTTATTTAAGGCGACATTGAAAAAAGAACAAAACCCAAACAACTCCCTGAACACTTTTGAATCGTTCAATTAGAAGTAAACGGTTCAAAAAGTCATACCAAATACCCCGGCAAGTGGACAAGGAGGTGAGCTCTTAAGAATTAGCAAAGATCTGTGGGTTCAGCAAAAAAGTAACACGGTTTTCTCTCAGTTTTTGTTCCTGTGTTTGGAAGCATTGTGCCGTTTTCTCAGTGCCCTGAAACTTTGTTTCTAAAAATCAGTTAAAATCCTCTCTTCTTGTACATTTTAATCTTTCCCATTGTCAAGGAGGACTTGTTCTTCGGGAATACAGGAAGGTGAAGAGTATAAATCTCCCCTTTCAAAAAAAAAAAAAATCAATTCATTACTTGAAACAGTATGGAAGTACTTAAGCAGTGTGTGGTTTTATGTGTTTATTTTTGTTTGAAATGTTTCTTCATAGTATCTGGGAGCAGGTATAATATGGCCTTGAGAGCGGTTACATTTAGTAGCAAATACATTCTTTTAAGGAATATCGTCTTCTTTCTTTCAGAAGACTTTAATTTGTATCTTTCTGACGTTGTGTTCATGAAAAACAATCTCAAGATAAAACTTGATCCAGTGACTTTTTAAAAGGCACATATTTTGCTTTACTTTGAAAATAAGCTCACGTTATGTACCTTTTTCTGGGGCTTCATTTTCTCCGAGGAAAGGCTTTGTTTCCATATTACAGAGAATGTCACTTTGTTCTTGAAGTGTGATCTCTGGCACTTGATACCCAAGACAAACACACTTTTAAAAGGTTATTTCAAGACTGGAGAGAAATAATTTCCAATGGATTGCCTTAGTAGGATGATTTAGAAGGAGTGATACTTTTCCTCCTGAATTATGGTATTGAGATTTCATGCCATGAAAAGCATCACAAGTTAAATATTGTAGGGACGTTGGCATGCTTAAATGTTTGAGTAAAATGTGAGTTGAAAGCTCTTTTTTTTTTTTTTGGAATGCTGTATTATGAGGCCACCACAAAATCTTATGTAGGTAGTGTAAAGCGGGCCATAAAAATATGGGTGAAATTAAAGTAATATTCAATCACCTGTTTTCAAGTCACATTTAATTTTTTAAGGTGATTAAAGTGCTCACCAAGAGACAGGCTCTGTAATCAGTACTTTACATCAGATCCTTTTGTTTCCTCCACCCTTGATTTTAAAAGGACATTAATTTGGCAGCTTGCTTTTTTATTTTTAGCATAGTAGTTTGTAGAAATCTTTTTTTAAGCTAATACCTTTGCTTCTATGTTCTTTGTAATGGTTGAATAGTTTTGTGTCCCATGAACATTCTATGGATCAGGGTTGCTAACTTGTTCCCAGGATTTTGCTATTGTAGTAAATAGCATGATATTTTCATATTTGTGTACTTTACATAGTATTACTATATGTCAGATTCTTAAAAATGCAATTTCTGGGTTAAAGGGTATGTGCATTTAAAATCCCGATAAATACCAGTCATTTTTTTGTCTCCAAAAAAGATTATACGTGGGAATAAATATAACAATTATTGGTGAATTACCTGAGTAAAATAAAACCTGAATAAATGAGATGAGACCGTGTAATCTCTGGATGGGGAGAGTCAGTGTGGGAGACTATTTCGACTTTCCCTGAGTTGCTGTATAAATGTAATACAATTTCAAATAGAATTCCAGCATTATCTTATAGGAAACTTGATATATTGATGAGAAAATTTGTCTGATAAAATAAATGAAGGATAGTCACAATGTGAAAGAAGGCCCCATCAGAACTCAACGTGTTTGAAATCCAGACTAATTCAAAGCAGTCTGTCAGTTCAGGACTAGACAGCGGAACCGGAGTCCAGAAACATCTGTGTATTTATGAGCTGTTAGTGATTATGGTTAATAGCATGTCATGTGTGTCAGGTATTGTAAGTGCTTACCATGAGTGAACTGATTTAATTCTCAGAGTAACCCTATGAAGTGAGCAAATACTATTCCCACTTTATGGATGGGGGAATTGAATCACAGAGATAAAAAAGGTAACACACTTAAATTCATTTAACCAATGAGAGGGAAAAGAGAATATGTGATTAAAATAACATTACAGATTACTGGAGAAAGGATGAGTTTTTCAATAAATAGCGCTGCAACTGTCGGTTAACTTTTTTTTTTTTATCCTCACCCGAGGATATTTTTCCATTTTTTGTACAGATAGAGTGGGAGGGAGAGAGAGGAAGGGAGAGAGAGAGAAACATCGACGTGAAGGGACACATCGAGTGGCTGCCACCCGCACGACCAACCAGGGTCGGGGACAAACTGCAACCGAAGTACGTGCCCTTAGCGGGAACCGAACCCGGGTCTCTCCAGACCGCAGGCCGACGCTCTAACCGCTGAGCCAAACTGGCCAGGGCTAACTTTTTTTTTTTAATCTGAGTTTTCTTCCCCAGGCCATAACCCCTCACCCCCAAATTAAAAAAAAAAAAAAAAGGACAAATAAAGCAAATCACAAAATACTAGAAGAAAGTGTAGGATACTTTGAAAAAATATATACCTGAATTGCACAGGGCTTCTCTGTACTAATATTAGCTTAAGAAGTAATAAAAGAAAATGTTTTTATTTGTGTGATATACACTGGAATTTGTGAACACAATATTAGTGTACCTGATATTAAATCACTTAAAAGTTGAAATCAAGAATTTGAGAGTGGTTCTCTGTCTCCCCAAAGAAATGTTAATCATGCAAGAAAATGGTATGAGTAATTATTAGAAACATCTCCATTGGTTGAATCATGGAAAGCAGCTGAAGGAAGGTACAGTGGCTTCTGCATTTTCAAGCTGTGTCACTGTGGGGAAGTAATAAAGTTGAAAATTGTATTGTTATATATGCTTATTAGATTTTGCTGCTTAAATGTTTTCATTATGTCTCAGGGACAGTATCTTTTTCCCTGTGGTTATCTCTAAAGTTACAGTGTACTTTAGTATGAAAATTGTTTACATCTCTTCTTAGGCAATGATTTATTGTATCAAGTACAATATATTTTTTCTCAATAGCTGAACACTTGAAAGTTAAGAACTGTAGAAATTAGTTAAATTAATGAACAAAACTAACTGAAAATTAGTCTTTATTGTGTCCCAAAGTGGCTGTTACAGTGTAGTTCTAATTTTGGTAGCTATTGATCACTGCATATTTATTTCATATTGCTTTAAAAACACCCTGTGCTTTATGAGAATTCACTTGATTGTGTCTGCCAACTTGAATGGGCTTTACTGTGGTACATTTTTCTGGACCTGCTAAGTTGATACAATAATTATTAATTACTGGAAATATTTTGAAAGTATTTAAGGCAAAAGGCTTTTTAATTTTTTTTTATGTTGGCGTGTTTGACATTTTAGACATTTGTGATTAAACTGTAGTTTATGTACGTGGCTGATAATCCTGACTACATTTACAACTCTTAAGTTTGCTTTAGGACAGCTCAGTTAGCTACTTTTCAAGTCATATACTGCCTGTTCACCCAGGTTGTGTAGTAGCACAAACTGTACTGCCCGGTAAGAGAGACTTATTTTCTTCTCTGTCTCTCTCTCTCAGATACTGATGTTTTCATGTTAGGGACTTGAAAACTTTTATTTCATGTTCAAGAAAGACTCATGCTGCCCATTGATTGTTGTCAGCAAATGGTAGAGGACTTCAACCATCACACAGCAAGTAATGAGGTTGAAACCAACCTACGACTGGAGGGCTGATACAGTGTACATAGCTCCGTTTCCTGTTTGGTTTGAAGGAAAGATTACAGTAGTTTCACTCCTTCTTGCAATCCTGGAAACAACCCACTGGCTGACTTCTACTCGCTCTTCAATCTTTTCTTCTATTTAGAGACCAAATGTAAACTCAGTGCAGTTCTAAGAATAAAACTAAGTATAAATAAGACAGATCACTATGCTACTAAGGAAAATGGCTTTAAAAATAATAATTTTGGCAAAAAGTTTGGAGATGGGATTCAGTTTCTGGATATGACCCTAACATAAAAATTCAATCTATTAAAAGACCCTGAGTCTGGCTGTAAATTCTTGGGTAGTGCCTGCCACCCGCCCCTGGCGGCTCTGTCACCCTCACCCAGGGTCGCGTCTTCAGGCGTGCAGGGCTCAGTATTGAGTGCCCACTGAGCACTGGAGTGGCTGAGGACAAGTTAGTGGATTGAGCAAAGCTGTTTTTTATTGCTAGATTTTTATTTTTAATCAAATGTGAAATTAAAAGATGGTTTCTGTCTAATAGGATATTTCTGAAGTATTTGGCTGGAACTTGGTTTGAGTCTCTGACTTTGGAAAGGCAATCTTGAAACTCCTTATTAGTTTAATAGCTTCTAATCTTTTAGGAAGAGAGAGACATTAGGATTACGTGCTGAGTTTTAAATTTAATTTAAGGTGGGCGGAGCTGTTTCAGTGCAGTATTTTCAGTGTAAGGTAGCAGTAAAAATAGGCCTTTTGCTGTCTCTGACCTAGAGTGCTTCTTAATTTATTTATTGCAGAGGAGAGTGGCTTCGGGTTCCCCTTTTATGGGTTAGCCAGGTGCTTTATTT